AACTTAGACAACATATCCTTCTAGTAGCTGCCTGGCAGAAAAGGTACAAATCTGGGTCAAGAAATGACACCAGCACTGAAAATTCAGACATGCCTGCAAGCAGAAGAGTTAACTCTAAGCAAAATGCACATGATTTTATTTTTTATCTGTCAAACTTTCCCCTTTTCCCCCTCCTAAACAACTCCATTTGTTTTAATGTAGTTTTTTTTTAATTATTCCAATTCAAATACAGCAAAGTGTTGTATGTTCTTGTCCTCACGCATTATATTATATACTAGTATTCCTTTGAAAGGATTTTGTTCTTTACTACTACCAGGACAAGAAAGCCTTGAAAACAGACTTGCTTATAGCGTCCAACTTGGAGGGATCTAAATGTGATATATTAAATGTTATACGGGCACATTATTCAATTTTAAATTAAGCTACTTCAACCCAGGGAGAAGTATTAAATCATAAATGAAGCAGTTTCTGAAATTCAAACTTTTGTGTTAGACAAGTCACTTCACAGAGCCTTCCAAGGGCATCCAAAGGGGAGCCTGTACGGGCTCCAAAAAGGTTTCAGGATGGTTATGGCAGCAGACAAGGCTCTGGCAGTGCCTCTCAGCCCCTTTATCCTCCCACCCACCACCAGGGCTCAGGCCCCGCCACGAAAGGTCCCCTTTGTTCACCTCAAGCACAGTGACCCGGATTAGCCCAGAGACACTTTCATCCTCACATTAAGCTCACCAAGGTCACTCGCCCAGTACAGTTTCGGGTGTGTTTGTCTGGTGACCCAGTCATGTGGGGCCTCTCCTGGCTGGAGCCTCATTGCTGACAGCAACGTTGTGGCCACCTAATGGGCACACATCTGTCCAACTGCTACATCCACCACAGAGGAATGATCCACCTGCATTCTCCTAAAAACCCACAAATGCCCTCTTCAGAACACAGCAGACTCTGTCCTTCACCAAAGAGGGAGAAACAAATGCTGAGCTGCCTCTCAGAAGCCCATACAGCAGAAGCTGGCTTGAAACCAGCAGGTTTCTGGCCTGAATCTGACCCAGGCTCATTAGTCTTTAGCTATTTCTGTCTAGCCTGGAGCATCTCACAGATGAAGGATATTCAGAGCCCAGACAGTCTTCCACAGTGAGCATTTTGGCTCCTCAAAGCTGTAATCAGTCCAATGGGTTGCTGTTGCAACTTTTGCTAGGTTTAAAGTCAAGTATTGCAAGGATAGGTATTGGGAGCCAAAAATGCCTTCTCAATTAAAAGTAAACAAGGTCCATTAAATTTTGTTGACCTTTTACTTGGTGCCACCGGAACTACAAAGATACTTCTTTAATACAGGAAAATTTGGATTATGATGCAATTATGTTACTCCAGAAGGGCAGCCTAAGGCCACAGCACTGTCACTGGCAGAAGGGACCCAGTGCTCTGCTGGTGCCACATAGCCCTTTTCTCTTCTGCAGCAACTACAGCAACAACTCCTGTTTCTAGCCTGGTACACTGCACAATCACAAAGACAGCAGTGGGAGCACAAAGGAAGGCATGGTAGGACTTAGAGGCAAGTGTCCCTGGCTGGGATTACATCCTTTGGTCCCAAAGGCAGCTTTTGCTAGCTGAGAAAAATCCTAAAACTACAGGAAAGTCTGTGTGAAGGTGCTTCTGGTCCCACAGTCACAGGATGGTTGAAGTTGAAGAGGTCCTCTGGCTGTCACCTGGTCTAACCCCCTGCTCTAGCAGGGTCATTAAGAGACAATTGCCCAAGGACTATATCTTAGACAGTTTCTGAGGATCTTCAAGGATGGAGACACCACAACCTCTCTGGGCAACCTGTGCCAGTGCTTGGTCACCTTCACAGTGAAAAAGTGTTCCCTGACGTTGAGAGGCAGCTCTTGTGTTTCAGGTTGTGCCCGTTGCCTCCAGCCCTGTCACTGGGCATCCCTGAGCAGAGCCTGGCTCTGTCCTCTTTGCATCCTCCCTGCAGGTGTTTATACACATGATGGGATCCCCTGAGCCTTCTCCAGGCTGAACAGTGCCAGCTCTCTGAGACTTTCTTATGAGAGGGATGCTTCAGTCTCTTCATCATCTTTGTCCCCTTCCACTGGACTCTTTCCTGCAGCCTCCTGCTGGTGCTCTGGTAGTCTGATCCAGCTGGCAGACACTGATAGCATGCTCCCTTGTCTGTGCTGGAAATCTGGAGAGAAGATGGCATGCAGGGGAGCATATGTCCCTATCCAGAACAGGGACTCTTTTTGATCAGTCAGTAAAGGAAAGTCTGTCTCAGAGTCCTGTATCTTGTGTTTGACTGACTTCTAAGGGAGCAGCTGTAACTACCAGGCACCACCTAAATGTAACCTAACTCCAGCACAGACTAAAAAAATAAAATTGTCTTTTCTGAGTAGAAAGATGTTTATCTAGAGACTCAGCATAATTTATTTTTACAGCAGGTATACCAAACCAAGACAGTTAAAAGGCTAAGTCTCCAGAGCTCTAGATGCTATGTAAATAAATGCTAAATAATTGCCTGCGGTTCAATGTTCAGCAAGGAAAATAGCTCTTGTTTTTCTTAAATTAAATTCTGATTTTATCTATAATTCTAGACTATTTTGCTTGTTCATTTACATGAAAAGCCATCCCACTTGTTAAGTGCCAAAGCCTTTTTCTGAAACTGTATGATTAACACCAGTACTTCCAAAAGCTACATACCAAATAGGTTTATGTGACTAACCTCAAGTCCCTCAGCTGGCAATATAAGCAAACTAACCTAACCAGGCACACACATTCTTGCTGTAGAAATGTCAGTTTACAGGCAGTCTTCTGAATAACTGAGATTATGACTGTGAGGACACCAGACAGCACAGCCCAGAGCCCTGCACCCACAGTGGTCCCAAACAGTTTCCTGTGCACAGCAGGATCAGGTAACGCTTGGGAATGCACAATTCCAACTCATGCTCAGAGCCAAGGAGCTGCAGTTGAAGGCACTGTCATCCCACTATTGGATTTCCCTCAACCTGTAGCAGAGTTGGTAGTAAGAAACCTGTGCTGCTTCAGGCCACAATCTGAATTCTTGCTATAATCCCATCTTTCCCAATTAGCAATTTAACCCGTTAGACTCAACTACAAGATGCAAGATGAAAGGCACAGATGCATGAGAGAGGGTGATGGTGGGCAGTGCAACAGAGCAGCACCACTTCAGCCACCAGAGCTGGGCTGGAGTGGGCTGGCCCTTCGGGACAGATGTCCCCCCACACTAGATGAAAACACAGCTACTTGCTTCAACTACATTCTTTTACAGGGTTTTGGATTTCTCTCCACTGAGCAATGATGCTGGTTGTCAGTAAATTATCCACTGTGATCCCTCAGGATTTCTCTTCATGGTATCATTAGCTTAGTCTGTGACTCCAGTTTTTATTTGCAGACAATAACCATCCCCGAACAAAAGTCTCCAGCTTGAGTAGCTGGCAACTCCACTGTGAGTGGCTGGTAGCACCAGGGAGAGCGATGCTGTCCTCAGGCATCAAGGACAGGTGCATCACTGCTTTGGCCAGCATGATGCAGCAGCAGCACCTCCTTCACTGCAGAGCCACTGTCCTGCCAGCCCAGGGTGACCGAGTCCTGCTGCTTCTCTCCAGCCTCCCAGCCACAGACCCGAGACTTTGCAGCGCATAAAAGTAGTACATAAAACCCCCTTCCACTGAACTGCTTATTTTTTGTAAAATCACAGTATTGCCCACTTGCTGCAGATACTAGTCTGCTTGTTTAAAAAAAATCCCATTGGCAGAAAACCAACATACAAGAACATCTACAAAGAAGCTGTTAGAGTTTATCGTGCAGTAATCCATGGATTAAGGTCATTAATAGCCCTCTATGACATACTGCCATGACTCCAAAGGTGCTCTTCTGCCTTACAGGACAGATCTACAGAACATGACCCCCTCATAAATATCTCCCCTGAGATACTGTCTTCTAAATCTTCAAAAGAAACGAAAAAATGAGAAAAAACAAAAGGCAGATGCCTAACACAATATCTTGCATTGCATAAAAAAAAAAGTTATAATGGAAATAAACCACCCTGAGCTTTCTTATCTTTCAGACTGATGTTTTCACATTAAAAGAGTTGTTGGTAACTGAATTTTTCATCCTCAGAGCTAAAACAGCAAACCAATACATTCTCCCATGCCCAGAAGATAAAGCCATAAGTAAAACTTTCAAACTAAAATTTGAAATTCTCAATTCTACCCTTTAATTATTTATATGAAATAAGCTTTCTCCTTCTGTTGACATGAGAAAACAAATATATCATAATGGAAAACACTGTGTACTCCTCAAATCCCAGGGGGTCATTAATCTTTTTTTATGCAGTACATGAAATGTTTTCACAGAACTTTTAAAAATAGTTTTCTAAAGCATGCCTGATGTCATTAGGAAGTCTGAAGAAGCCCTAACAATATAATTGCTAAATATCCTCCAAAGAAGAAAATTCCTTTGCTCCTCCTAAACTTATGCTCATATCTGCACTATCCATACATGTAATTACCAATGCTATTAATTTACCTGAGTCCCCAATACCAAGAGTAAATAACCCTTGTGTCAAATCTGAACTAATGGATAGGCTTTTCTCACTTATGTTGATCTAAATGAAAAAATCTGCACTATTTCCATATGATTTGTTTCTTTAGGACTCTGGGAATGGCAGAGTATTGCACCACTGTGTATTTTCATTTACCAGGAAACAATTATAATTCATAAAATGTACTTGGGAGAATACAATTGTCCTACCAGCTGCAACCAATTCTGTATCCCACAGTCACATGCAATTTTTGTAAACAACATAGTGACATTTGAAAAAAAAAAAAACCTTAGAAAGAAATCTTAAAAGCTTCAGTAAACAAACATTATGATAAACAACATTTGTTTCAATATACATCTCACCAGGAACGAATCACTCATCATTTCCTATTTTACTTTCACTACGATGTAGCAGCATTTTCACTACACATGCAGTTTCTTTTTCTTACCTTTAAGGAATCAAAGCAGGCAATAACTCTTCCATTTTCAACCTGGCAACTTTTAGGGGGGTGTGCAAATTTGCATTCTTCATCAGAGCGTGAACAAGTTCCCCTCTGAAACTGCCTGCACACTTCTAGTGTCAGCCATTTTGTGTCTCTTACGGGAGCAACATTCAAAGCCATGATGAGAAGCTGATTTTGAACTTGTAAGTTGCTGTCAGGTGAATTATGCTGAAGAAATTTCCAAAACTAATGACAAAGGNGGGGGGGGGAAGGAAGTCAGTAAAAAATAACTTCAATTCTAATGGAAAATTAAGTTAAAAAAAACAAACAGTGGGGGACGATTAACGACGTCCAACGCACACAAAGCAGAACAAGCAGAGAAAGTTTATCAGCAAGCAGTCACTCATCAATCATTAAGTCCCGCTCGTAGACTTTTGGCTGGGAAAACACATGCTCAGTCGCATTTCTGTCTGTAAAACACGTGGGTTTGTTGATTGTAATCACGGATGCACTGGTTTAAAGCCAAGGTCCATCAATGCAATGGCACTCCTTGATAGAATAGCAGTCCCCTGATGGTTGCTTGCCGGTATTGATTACACGAGAAAAGCAACGCAGTCATTTGTTCATGTCCCAGGAATAACAATAATAATAATCCTTTTTCTGCTTTCAGTTTCCCATCAACTAATTGGCAAATGGAGACAGCTGAGGTATCTTCTGCCAGGTGTAAGGTGAAGGCAATGTCTGGCTGGCAAAGACGGGATTTTGAGAACACGGGCGTAGCAGTCCTCGCTCGGAAAAGTGACTTGGCAAAGGCACTTTTTAAGTCACTGACCTGACAAAACAAATACGGCATCAGTTCACGTGCAACTCATTCAAATCAACATTATGAAACCTACAGTCCCTTTTTATCAGATATTATAAACATACAGCCAAAGTTCACTCTTTAAAAAAAAAAAAATCCTCCTTTGTGAAGTTACATGTGATAGGGGAATAACCAGTTGAAACACGTACTGCAGTAATATTCCAGGCAGCAATCCAAAAGTTGGGAATGATTTAAATAGATGAATGTGGCAGACACAATAATTAGGCACACTAGTTGTGAAACAATTCAATCAAATGTGCTTAGTCTCCAAAACTGTATACAAGAACCCGTTTACATTAATTTATCACTTGGCCCTTTAGACTGTGTTACTACATTATAAATTGTTACTCATTACTTGCTCTTCCTTAGAAACCAGGATGGTAGTATTCTGCTCAGATTTTTTGCGTCTCCCTCTATTTCTCAACAAAAGAGAAACCAAAAAATATAATTCCGAAATTATAGGAAATAAAACCCCTCCAAATGCAGACAATATAGTTAGTCCTCCCATTAACTCAGATGATGTTCCATAAGGGCTTCATGAAAGGGCTTAACCACCAAGTCACCGTGCACCAATGAGTCCTTTCTAACATGAAGCAGTCTTTATCTAAATATTCTTTTGATTTAATTAGCCTTTGTGTACCTCTGCAAATATATCCTTTAGAATCAAAACATCAGATTCCAATATGGCACTTAAACTGTTTGCAGACTATAAAATACCTGGGATATTTTACAGAAAAACAGATTTGAAAATCAAAGGGTTAGATATTACAAAAATATTTAACCACTACCTAAATTTTATACATAGATAGTGAAATCATGAATACGATGTTTTCTTCTATTTAGCTTCAAAGGAACACAACTTTTACTTTGCAAATACCAGCCAGAAACAGTTGATGGATTATTTTTGTGCATGAAAAAAGAAAAGGGGAAGGACTGGAATAACTGAGATTTTAAAATACGTCAATAAAAATTGTTCTAAAATCACTGCCAGATTTTCCATGTCAGAACAATTACCATTCTGTGCTTGCATTCACTGGCCTTGCTGAAGTCAGTATTGTTTGTTAAGGAAGAATTACTCACACCCAGTTTCAGGATCAGATCCCAGTTCTGACTTCTAGGTCTTCGCATCAAAAAGCTTTTCTACTACTTAGCAATGCTACCAAAAGGTGTTTTACTATGTGACCAATACTTCCACCAAAAGTTCCTACTGCTAGCATGAATAAAGGCAATGCAATGCTAATTGCTCAAAATTCAATTTCAAGTCCAAAGTCCATTAAGATGGGTATGGATGACACTTAGCTTTACTTGGTCATGAAGAACAACAAGGTGCAAGAGAATCAGTACATTTTGAAATAATTATATGCAATTACAGTAGAGCACATAAATTACAAACTCCTCAAATTAAATATTCCATCAATGTTGTCTGACAGCATCAATGAAGAATGAGATTAAGCTAAAAGCATACAAAGAGGTGAGAAAATACTCATAACTGATGAAAAGGAAAGAGAGGAGGAAATACAAGAAGAGCCTCTCCACAAGGGCTTGTTGAGCTGATAGCTTGTTGGGCTGATGATTTAGCTGGCTAAATGTAAAAGAGGAAATACTCTCCCTAGAGCCACACATTCCAATTCAGAAATGTCAGTAATGGTTTTCAGTAATAGATGTAGGAGACAGACGGAAATTTTGGGAAAAGGGTAAATGTTATACTGCACACTGCTGAAAGTCACAAGTAGTAATACTCTGCAGGGCTGCACACCATAAAATTGACAAAGTTGTTTCTCAAGTAGTAGGTGTTAAGACTGAAAAAAACCAGACACAGCACGTGGCAGCAAAGCAAACAGCACACAGTATAGAAATGGCAGTAACCATGGTTTTTAAAAAAGAAGTGCACAGCAGAATCACATACAAGATTTGAGAGACTACAGCAAGAATTCACACCAAAAAGCATTTGGGGGCGCAAGGTAGAAGAGTGAAACACAGTATCATCCTATTTCTTACCCTCATGCTACATGAAGATTTTCTAAAGAAAGGAAAGCATGAAAAGTTTGTCTCTAAAATCCATGTCTTGTCCAACATAACAATGCCACGTGATTTCTCAAGAGTCATCAAGTGCCTCAGGAGTTCCTACAGGTAAAAACTTGGGAGACAGAACTGAGTCCTGTCTCCTTTCTGAAGGAGGCCATGCCTTCAGCAGGAGGCAAGTTCAAACATGGTGAAGATAGAACAATTTGGAGTGCTTTATCTCTACCACTTACATGATCACAACGTTTACGTTCACAACCACATGCTAGGCAGCTGTCATACCTCCTCTGCCCATCACTTGCACCAGGAAGATGAAGGAAGAGATGCCACCTTGAAAACCTCAACATGAGGGACACAAAACGAGGAGGAGGGAGAGAAAAGACAAAGCAGAGAATAAAATTATTCTTCTTGGAGAAGTCAATAAAAGTAGAATTCAACACATGAGGAAAGTGCTCAAGAGAAGGAAGAAAATGGGAGAGGAAGGTAGGAAAAGGAAATGGCTGGTTGTGAAACTGAAAAGAAGGGAGAGACTTCATAGCAAATGGAGAAAGGTGGAGAAAGGCTGTGAACATTGGAAGAGAGAGGGACAAGAGGAAATTTTAGAAGGAAAGCAGAAGAGACTGTGGTTACAGGGAAAAAACTCCAGCAGTTTGAGTAAACAGGGAAGTAAATAAGGGAAATGAATGGAATTTATATAAGAAAATATAACAACAATAACAACAACAATCCTCAATAAAATGCCTGCAACGTCACACGCCATTATTAACATCATGGTTAACCTCGACCTTGCGTGTTGCAAAACCCACCCATCTGGAGAAAACCAGTGGGTTTTGCAAATGCAAACTCTGCTCCTCTTCCCACTATTTCTAATTGTGTCCCAACATATCAGCTGGAGTTAGCTGTCCTGACAAGACCAATGGTACCTCACTGGCATAAAGCCCTCAGCACAAAGTGTCCCTCATCCTGGCAGAAGATTTTGTTTGCCTTATAGTTTTGTTTAGTTGTTTTGTTGTTATTACCATTAATGATTCCAACTCAAGACAGCACCCACCACTGTAGCTAAACAAACTATCAAAACTTACAAACAAACAACTGAGCTGCAAAATATTCTTACTGAAGATGAAGGAAGTACTTAACATAAGAGCAAATTATTTTTGTCTTTTTACAACTATTATTGTTAATTTTCAGTCTCTCACCCAGTTGAATCAATGGAATTGATCAAAAATTCACATGTACAAATGCAGTTTTTTGTAGGTTAAGTGAAATGAAATTCATGGACATGTATTTGTAAAAGTTATTTAGCTTTGGATCCCTTTTAAGATAAGCATCAATTCCCTTTCACAGAAAGCTAGCAAGGCATAGGACTAGAAGGCCTTTGTCATGGTTAAGAAAAAAAATCCTTTTAATTAGTAGACAAGACAGAGCACACAGACACTAGAAGCCCAGAGAAAAAGTTCTCAGAGAAATACAGGGCAGCCTCATATTTGGGAATTGCAAGCAAAAACAAAGCCCTGCCCTATTATGAACCAGCTGGATCTTTCAGCTGGAAAATAGGAGCTCTTACTATCTACAAAATATGAGTTGCTTTGGTACAGTTTTACTTATCAGCCAGATCATGTGGCAATGGATTATGCAGGATCTGTCTAATGGTGAAGCTGAGACTTCCTGGACATGACATACTCATGCCTCAGTAGGTAACACGTAGTAATGAGCAACCCCATCTCCAAAAGTCATCTCTGCAGGTGATGACATCCAGTAAAGGAGCACAGTCTTCTAGATGGTCTCACCACAGATATCTAGAGGAACCACTAAGTCCAGCCAGAAGGTGTTAAAACAGTTTTACACTTTTTGAGGTTTAAACACTCTGTATTATTCATCACATTAAAATCTTCAGTAAGAGATGTCAACACTGGGGCTCAATTTGTTGCTCCTACTGTCAAAATTTATCAACATGATCCATATATTTCTTCTATAAATATACCAGAAACATAAGAATTAAAAAGTTAGAAAACCCTCAGTTGTACTTAAAGGGTTGTAATTAAAGGGGACTGTGCAGTTTGAAGCATATAAGCTCTTCTTTCCCAGACAGAAGAGATGCACTAAATATACTTAGCCAAGTACACGTTTGATAATTTCTATTATTATACAAGTTTGATAATTTGTAAAAAATGCTCTGTTTTAAAGACAAGGACTCAAAAAAACAAAACAAAAACACTCCTCAAACCCCAGAGACTCACTGAGCTGTGAAAGCAAGGTGAACCTTCTCTAGGTCACTAGCAGGGAGAAACATGTTGACTTACAGACTACTGCCCAAATTCAGTTAAACACATGACCTCAGGTGGGAAAAACCTTCAGGACCTATCTACAGCCACCACAAATGACCTGCTGGGTACTCCAATGCCAACACAATGTATTGAAAACTCAGTTTTCAAACCCAGCACACATATACTGCCACTCTTCAGGGACAAACTGTTTTCTCACCCAAATGTGAGATCTTTTTCAGGAAAACCAAGGTCAACTCTCTAACCCCAGGGAAACAATTTTAAGCCACTGGCCCAAAGCAGGTTACTTCTACAACTTTTATCCATTTACACATAAACAAAATCTCATGTTGCTTTCTCACAGAAAAGCGTGGTCATAGTCTTAAATTCCAGAAACTTTTTAACAAAGAAACAATAACAATGACCCTGCAGGAGACAGCAGGCCCAAAGAGTTAAATGTCAAAATTTTAAGGTCTGGCTGGAAGCTGGAAGAAAAAGCAAAACAGGCTCTACCCTTAGACAGGGTTAACCATAAGCATCACTAACTTCACATCCCACAGCACAAGTTCATGAACCAGCAGTGTCTTGACCACATACTACTTTAACTCAGATTCTCATGATGTTCCTTTTTGTTCAGGAAACAAACTGGTGTATAAGAAAAAAAATAGTTTAGCGATTTCTTTCAGC